TAAGAAACAAAGTCCAGGTGGTTCCCTGCCTCTTCTTTTTTTTTTTTTTTAATTGGTTAGAGTCTTGCTGTGTCACCCTGGCTAGAGTGCAGTGGTGTCATTGTACCTCACTGCAACCTCGAACTCCTGGGTAGCTGGGACTGCAGGGTGCTAGGATTACGGACGAGAGCCTCCATGCCCAGCTGGCCTGCCACGTTCTGACCTGCGCTTGGCTTGCTCTGACCTTAACCGGATGAGGCTCCTGTTCTCCCCTCCCAGACCTGCCGGAAGCATTCTGTTATATCCTACTCTTGGAGAGCTTAGAAGTGGGGAATCCATAGCTCATCTCTGACTTCATTCCTGCCAAATGTGAGAAGAACACTTGGGGGAGAGATTTGTTTCCTTGCCTTTTCCAGGTTCTAGACGGGACCTGCATTCCTTAGCTTCTTTCCTTCCTCTTCAAAGCCAACAGATTAGCACCCTCTCTCCTCTCTAATCCCCGATTTCCCTCTAATAAACGCCCTTGTGATTGCATTGGGTCTACCCTGGTAATGAAGGATAATCTCTCCGTCTAAAGAAACTTAATCAGGTGTAAAAAGTTCTTTTTGCCATCAAAAGTAACACATTCACAGATTTCAGGGATTAGGATCTGGACACTTTAGGGCACCATTTTCAGCCCACCATGGCTATCTACATGTAAGTGAATATGAAAGAATCAATATAAAAAATGCCAAGCAAGTACAGCCTAGCTATGTAAAGAAAAGGCACAATGTCAATGGTTAGACAAAGGCCCTGGGGAAAAATTAAACTGAACAAGAGGTCATGGTCTGGCCTCAGCTTCCCTGACAGTTACAAAGCCTATTCTGACAAAGGGAACAAAGCTCTAAGTGATTTCTGGGAAACAAAGGGCTTACTATTGTTGGGGTTTCTGGCAAGGCTGGAATGCAGGCTAGGTACTGCACGTTTGGCAGGAATAACCGTTATACTACTGATGTGTGTACAACTTTAGTCTTAAATTGAATTCTGTTAATGGACATAGACTTTTGCTTATAATTGAATTTTAACCAGTCTCTAAAAGCTGGCCCTGAGAAAATCTCCTTAGTCACACTTAAAAGTTCTTTGGCTTATTTTATATCTTGTACTTTTCACTAAGTTTGAAGGTCTTCTTTCCAACAACATACTCTTATACACTCCTAATTTTTTTTTTTTTTTAGCCGGGGTCTCACCCAGTCACCCAGGCTGGGATGCAGTGGTGTGATCACAACTCACTGCAGCCTCAGACTCCTGGACTCAAGCCATCCTCCTACCTCAGCCTCCCCAGTAACTGGGCTACAGGCGTGCACCACTATGCCTGGCTAATTCCTCTTACTTTTAAAAGAGAAACTGCTTATTTCTTGTAATATGCTTATTTGACCATAGAGGGCACAAGACATTAAAAAGTGAAATAAATTACCCACGCAGCAGCAATTCATATGTGTTTGCTCTCAGTTCCATAACTTGAGAAAATGGAGATAATTAAATTTACTCCGGTGTTTCATATGTTGAAGGATCCTTCCATTTTTTTTTTTTTTTTTGAAACAGAGTCTCACTGTGTTGCCCGGGCTAGAGTGCCATGGCATCATCCTAGCTCACAGCAACCTCAAACTCCTGGGCTCAAGCGATCCTTCTGCCTCAGCCTCCCGAGTAGGTGGGACTACAGGCATGCGCCACCATGCCCGGCTAATTTTTTCTATATATATATATATTTTTAGTTGTCCAGATAATTGCTTTCTATTTTTTGGTAGAGACGGGGTCTCACTCTTGCTTAGGCTGGTCTAGAACTCCTGACCTTGAGCGATCCACCCACCTCGGCCTCCCAGAGTGCTAGGATTACAGGCGTGAGCCACCGCGCCCTGCCGATCCTTCTGTTTTTTTTTTTTTCAGAGTTTAAATTTAATCCCACATAGACTTTACTTTCATTTTTAAAAATATAAAGGATGTCCAACTCACCAGAAAAGTCTAAGATTATGACTCGTCCTGTTAACCTGCTTTATACAGAGTAGCAGTTACCTTACCACCTTTAATCTCAATCTCTAACAAAAAGTAAACAATAGTGGGTATTGATGCATTCCAGTGATTACAGTTCTTTTGAACTACTTTGTTCTGTTTTTAAAGTGCAGTGATAGTATTCCAATAACATAGGAAAAATAGATTAGAAAGTGTAGTAACATAAAACAATGAAACTAGTAGCATAATTAAATAAAATTTTATCATGAGTAGTTATACAAATTCCTGGTATCCTTTCAAATTCACTAAATTTAATCAATTATAAAAAGGGATTTTATAGAGGAGTCAAATATCTTAATACATCAGAGCCTTTTTGTGGCATAATAGAGTATAATACAATGAGCACATCTTTTTATGTTAATACCAACTAATCAATTGTAATTGGTATAATTGCTACTTTGCTGTTTTCTCCTGGTATTCATTATTGTTGAATACTTAATTACAGCACAGGATATAATTTGTTCTTTGGCAATCTGTCAATTGCAGACCCAGCA